TTTTCTCTCCATTTTTTGATTGAGTTAACTGGCTCTTTCTTTTTACTTATAAATATGTTATACATATCCTTACAACCTTTATCATGTTTATAAATACAAAAATGGAATTTGGAAGATGTGGTTCAATCAACTCAGCATTTTTAATTTCATCACAGTTTATATTTTTCAGTCTATCTAACACTGCTATTCTAAGACCATTATAATCAACAAAATTTGTTTTCACTTTCAAGTTTATTAATGAGTCAGACTTATGAAACTACCCTCATTGTTAAAGAGGTCAGTAAGAAAAAGAATGCCTTCATTAAAATAGTTTTTCCAAAGAAAAGATTTATTATTAATTTTAATCTTGGATTATTCCATATATGTTCAAAGAGCACATGCCTGTCCTTTTCTTGATTTATTTTAGTTAGCCTTGCCCAGCTTGACAGAACTTCTTTCCAAAAAACATTATTTAATCTTGTTGAGAGATTCAAATATAATCAGAACCCCTTATCCAAAGATTGTTTATATCTACTTTTAGTTCAGCTTCAAATAATTTTACCCAGTTTGCTTGTGAGTGAATAAGTCTTCTAATCCAACTTGATTTAAGGGCAGAAATGAATTCTGTATAATCAATCATTTTTAGACCTCCATATTTATAGTCCTGGATTATAACATTTTTCTTTACCTTGTGAGTTTTGCTACCCCAAAGAAAATAATACATTTCAGTCTCAAACATCTTCAAAAAGTCTGACTTAGGGTTTGGTAAAGTAAGAATTAAATGGTTTAATTTGGGTAATATTAAAGTTTTAATTACTGTTAACCTTCCAATCGGGGAAAGTTTCCTTAAACTCCACTTACGTAACAAAGTTTTGATTTCATTTAGCTTTATGGAATAATTAAGATCAAGCATTTCATTCAAGTTTACTGAAAATTTTATTCCTAGAAGATCAAATATTGAATTTTCCCAGTCAGGCTTCCACCTTGAGTGATGAAATACATCCATTGAAAATTTTTTACTTCCAATCCATATCATTTTAGTTTTTAAGAAATTTATCTTTAAGCCTGATATATTAGCAAAATAATCTAATTCTCGGAGGATACCATCCATAGATCTTGGTGAACCATCTGAGATAAGAGAAGTATCATCAGCATATTGAGAGAGTTTGTACTCTTCACCCTCAATTGTTATACCTTTTATATCTTGATTATTAAAATTAAGATTCCAAGAATTTCAGCACATAACAAAAAGAGATAAGGTGAGATTGGATCGCCTTGTCTGCATCCTCTTTGGGGGAAAAGATAGTCTGAAGTAAATCCATTTTGTATAACACATGATTTAATACCATTATAGAAGGTTCTAATCCAATTTTTAAAAGAGGGTCCAAAATTAAAAAAGTCAAGGGTTTGATATATAAAGTTCCATGAGACTGTATCAAAAGCCTTTTCAAAGTCAATTAACATCAATAGGCCAGGTATTTGATTATATTCTGTATAATGCATTATATCATATATCAGTCTAATATTCTCTCCAATAAAGCTACCTTTTATAAATCCAGTTTGGTCTCTATTTATCAACTTGCCCAATTTAGTTTTCATTCGTTCCGCGATGCATCCTGATGCTATTTTATAAACAACATTTAAAAGACTAATGGGTCGCCAGTTTTTCAGAAATTGTTTTGGCTTTCCTGTTTTTGGGATACAAGTAATGATTCCTAATTTATTTGAGTCTGAGAATTGAAGTTTTTCATTTGAATTATTTATTGCTCTTGTAATAAAGGAGCCAATATCTTTCCAGAAAAATTTAAAAAATTCACATTTAAATCCATCCGGTCCTGGACTTTTGTCATTTTTCATTTGTTTTAAAAAGTTTAAAACTTCAAAGTTTGTTACAGGACCTTCCAGACTGTTTGATTCTTCTCTACTTAATTTGGGAATATCATAATCTTTAAGTCTATCATGAATATTTTCAGTATCTACATTTTCCCTTTTCTTATATAAGTTTTCATAGAAAGCGTTCGTTTCATTTAATATCTCGCTTTGGGAAGAAACAATTGATCCATTGTCCTTTTCTATTTTAGGTATTTGCTTACTTACATAGTTTCTTGATTCTAAACTTACAAAATATTTTGAGGGTTTTTCTCCCTCCTCAATCCATTTGACCTTTGACCTTATGCATTGACCTTTAAATTTTATGTTCTTTATTTCTTCTACTTCTCTTTTCTTTTCTTCAAGTTCATTAATTAGCTTTTCTGTTAAATTCTGCTCTAATTCTAATATTTCTCTCTCTAACTGTTGTTCTCTTTCGAAAGTTTTCTTTTTTTTATATGTTGAAAATGAAATTGATTTTCCTCTTATTTCCATTAACAAAATATCAAGAAAGAGTGGTCACTAATGGTGAGTTGAATAGTATCATTCTCGATGCAACTTATTTTTTCCATATTATATACTGGACAAGAATATTGGATTTTAACATCCTTAATCTTACATTTTCAAGTCTTGATTTTGGATTGTTTAAATTTTTGTAATTCATTGAATCCAAATATTTATCAAAAACTTAATTAAAATCACCCCCTAAAACAATTTTATGAGAGGAATGAATCTGCTCTATTGTATGGAATAAACTTATGTAAAAATTAGGTGTGTCAGAGTTTGGACCATAAATATTTATTAGTAAAAAAGAGATATCCTCAATAAAGACATCCAAAATTAGAAAATTACCATCAGTATCCTTATATTCATTGACGATTTTTAATTCAAAGTTGTTGTTAAAGAGTATAGCGACTCCCCTTGAATTGGACTTGAATGAACTAAAAAATGCTTTATATCCCCACTGTGCTCTTATCATATTTTCATCTTTTTCTACAAAATGGGTATCTTGTAAAAAGTAAATATTGTAATTCTTAGCTTTTAAGTTCTTTAGCACATCTCTTCTTTTATGAATGTTACCAAGGCCTTGACAATTTACTGAGAGTATTTTTAGGCTGTTATCATTATTATAATCCATAATATTCTAAAAAAAAAAAAATGATGAAAACATTGCTGACCCCCTGATAGACAGGTTTATGTCCTTTTTATTCATTTAAGTCCCTATATATATATATTTTATATATATATATATATATATATATATATATATGAACGTATGAATCATTCAAATTTCTGTCCTTATATACATGTTGCTAATAAAACTAAAAAAGAATAATAATTTAGATTGATGAGGTAAAATGATGGTATGTTACAATTCATAACCTTATATGATAGTACGGTGTATAAACAAATTATTATGGCGTTTTGACCTCTTTTACATAACAAAGTTAATGGTATAGTTATTTTTCAACCTATTCTGAATTCTTTAATTTAGAACAATCCAATAAAAAGTGATGACAAAGATAAATAGAAAAAGAAAATTTGCCATTTACTCTTTCCATCCACTCCAAAACATTCCTGCATCCTGAGGAAATCAAAACTTGCCTCTCCAAATCATTCGGTTGTAAATATATAGATTCATTCAATATCAAATACCAAAACTTCCTAGTGAGATAAAACAACAATTGAAAAAGGCTAGTTTAAACCGTTCGAAACAGGATAAAATATTCAATTCATATTAAATAGATAGTAGTTTTAGTCAGTTCATTTGATTCTAAAAAAACAGCTTTGGTCTGAGGTAGTCCCTAAACAGTTCATTTTTTCCTCTTTGAGAACATTCTCCGAGGACAAATGAGACGTAAATCTACCAACTGGTTAATACGTAATAGAATCCAATTGTTTCCTTGTATCACTGCCCTGGTAAACACGACTAATTCAACACATGTAAAAGCCAATCGATATTTAGGTGCACATATCGACATGCAATTTTGCAAAGGTAAGTCGACAGGATATTTCTAATCATAAAGATTTTAATTATGATACACTTCATTCAAAAATTTTTAGAAGAAGATTATTGAATTCATAGTAAAAGCTCCTTTCATTAACTATATATCTATATTGCTCGAAAAAAGTCAGTTTTCTTAAACGATCGTTTTATTTTTCTTCTGTTTTCAAGAGCATGAATGTAGTTTCATGTGTTTTAGAAAAAATACAATGAAGCATTTATGATATATTAGTTTCCTGTTAACATACACAAGAAGTGCAAAAACTTAGCTTTTCTGAAATACTATTCAGCAGTGGAATTCAACAAACGACAAGTAAGGTCATCGAAAGGGTTACATATACATGCTTCATCTTTATTAATCTGATTTCTTTAAATGAATGAATTTGACCATAAAATATCAAATAAACATATTTTAAAAAGAAAAAACTCTCAAATCCAATACGTCTAACATAGACGTAAAAAAATTCACAAAGCATTTTTTATAGCAAAAGGACAAATCAAACAATATCTGGGAGTTTCGATGAACGTTCACCACAAGGGGAGTTATTTCAAAAAGATTTTTGTTTATGCTCGAATAATTTCGACGTAGTTATGAATACAGGAAGTTAAATATTTTTTTATTAGGAGTTTAAATTACAGTTATAACACAAAAGGTAAAGTTCGTTGTATTTAAAATTCATGAATATCATTGCTAAAATGCACGTTAACTCTATCATGACACATATATTTCTTTAACCCTTTTTATCGGAAGGTAAACTGTCTTTTTCAAAATTGAATATTGGAAAAAGTTATCCTCGATTTAAAAACAAAAGTAATGATTTAATTTACATCTCTGCATACACACGGTGCTCTTTTTTTCTTGATAAATAAATAAAAAACAGAAACTCTTGACTTCGTTTTAGCCCCTCCCAGAAAATAAACCGTACATCATCAAAACAGATTTAAACATTGTAAGATCTAGAAGAATGCATGCTCTTTAATCTAGATAACATACTCGTTCCAATGACAGGATCTTACATAACATTTGAAAATTAATCCGCAGACGTTTATAGTTAAAAAAAAACAAAGTCAAGGTAAAATGTTTTTAAAGATATTTTTGTTCAATTTGTTGTTCTGCATGATATGCATTACATGTATGTATATTATAAGATTATTTTTTAAAAATATATCTTTTCAATTTTCCTCATTCAATTTCTTCTAAGAAGATGATAAACAGATCATGAGGGAAGTATGAAACTGAATTATTTCCTTACGAAATGCAAAATACTAAATATTTCAGAAAGATCGAAGGATGTCTATCGATGAAGAGAAAGGTGCATTGACGAAGTCTATCAAAGAAAGCACAACCAAATTTCTAAAGGAAGAAGACCAGAAATTTGACCTAAATACGGATGAGTTTGCGCCTCCCGATGGTGGCTGGGGTTGGGTTGTTTGTTTCACAGTTTTCCTGACCAATGGAACATTTTGTGGCATACTTAACACGTTTGGAATTGAATATGTTTACCTGATCAAGCAATATGCAAAGGGAGACACTGGAATTTCTTTCAAAACGTGTAAGTAATTTGTTCAAATAGATCTACATGTGTTATCCTTATTTTGCTTCCCCTCTCCTTCCCCATATCTCTGTCTTTTTTTCAGGAAGCATATAAGACTTTTGTCCAAATACATATACACCAATGTAGTCTCTTTCTTTCTTTTTCATCAAAACATGTAAGTAATACATGCACACACAAATGTTTCTAAATTGTATGGAAACAGGCAGTTTAAAAAGTGTTTTCACAATTATACCAATTCATCGGACCTGTATTTTGATATATCTTCCTGCTTTTTCTAACATCTATTATCGCATTATTGCGTTTTTTTATAAACGTATACATGAAAATTTCTATTTGTTTTTTTTTCAGCATGGGTTGGATCAGTCTGTATGGGTGTTACATTTATTACTTGTATATTTGCCGGGATATGCAATGATCGAATTGGTATCAGACCGACAGCATGTTTTGGGGCAACTTTAGGCGCAATTGGACTTTTTACTAGTGCTTTTATCACGAAATTAGAAATCTTGTATCTAACATACGGTGTTTTGTTAGGAATTGGAGGAGGATTCATCTATTCTACCTCATTGGTTATTCTAGGTCATTATTTTAAAAAGCACATTGGATTGGCAAACGGAATTGTAGCGTTCGGAAGTTCGAGTTTCACAATTGCGCTAACTGTTGTTCTTCCTATTGTGCTGGAATCGTTTGGGATCAAATATACCTTTCTTATTCTAGGAGGATTGTATTGTATTCTAATTTTTGGAAGCCTAACGTGGAAACCATTGATTCATAGAGATAAAGAAGTCAATATACGTTCTTTGTACACAGAAGGGAATGTGAGGAACCCTGAGGTTTGCTGCTCAAAGACAAATAAATACTTGAACCTGAAAATCTTTAATAACACTGCATATCGTATTTGGTTTATTGGATTTGTCACAGCATTATTTGGGTATTTTGTACCATTTACACATTTAGTAAGTATAGAATATCAGGTAATTACGGTAAAACATATAATACCAAAATTTAGCTTGGACAGGTGCAGTTAAATGGGAAATATGGATATTCGAATTAATAAAGAAAATAAAAATTAACGTGTGAGGCAAAAATGTCGTATAAAGCACAGATTGTCAATTAAATAAAGTTTGTCGTATTCAAATAGAAATTTGCAAATTTGAAATAAATTTTATAATCTTTGAATTTGGCATTTCTTAACCCTATACCTTACCTTCAGTGCAAAGGATTCTTCTGCATTCTTTAACATCTGAAAATCCTCTGGATATATATAGATTTTAAAATTTGGCAAAAATATATTAAACAAAAAAAAATATTTACAATTTTGCAATTTCTTTCATGTAAAAAGGTTCAGTTTACACAATATACCGATACTAAAGTCTTACCACAAAAGAAAAAAAATATCTTTTTTACTGCATCAGTAGCGTTCAAAGCAAGTCATTAATTAAAAGCATGTTGTGGTTTCAGGTTTCCACGAATGAAATATGTGGAGATAACGAACAGTATTCGAGCATTTGACTAACGATAAATTGTGTTTGCTGACAAGGTCATCGTATCGTTCATAGAACTTACGAAATGATGACTTTAAACGAGACATCTGGGATTCTTGTTTCATTAACGTGTTCGTCAATAATTTACCTCGTTTTAGAAATTGTTTGTATGTAGAGCATGCTCTTTCGTATGTTGTTTGTCAATAATTTACCTCGTTTTAGAAATTGTTCGTACGTAGAGAATGCTCTTTCGTATAGAATGAATCCTTAAACCAAGTACCAAATTCCATAGTCCTTAAATATAATCCCTTATTGCAGCTGGTATATACCTTATAACCAATCCTGTAGACATCAAAGCTCACAATCAAAATCCCTGAACATTTAATTAAAAAATTATCTTAGAAACAAAAATTTTTTCAACAAGAGAACTTTATATTCACAAATGTAATTTACTAAACTACTCATACAAATGGATGATGCACGTTATTTGTTGACTTTTTCTCAGAAAATGAGGATGAGATAGATGTACGAGGGTTATCTGGTAAAGAAGTGGACAAATTGCCTGGCATCAAAAATAACTATCACTGCATTTGAAAATTTCACTACCCTTTAGTTCACCATTCATCAACATACACAGCAAATTTCAAATAGGTAAATGATTGTATAAATAAACGAATTATAAGATTTTTATGTATTGTATCACCTTACTTTGCACAGATGATAACGTCAACGTGTCTAAAGAAGCATCACGTTGCCTCTTTGCTAAAAAAATAAATAAGCTCACTAAAATTTAGGAATTTCATTGATGCACATACTTGCGTTTCCCTTGATTCTCCATTAACAGTTGAGGAGCCACAACGTCTTCAAACGTCACCATTTTTCGTGTATTGTGTTTACCACTTACCCGTTGCGTATGTTGGGAAAAACTGCCAAATATAAAGTAAATGTCTATAATTTTTTAAGAAGAAAAATAAAATAGATAGTGGATTAAAAGAGAATAATTTTAACACCAATCTTCTAAATCAAAAACTTTCATTGTCAATAAATGTGTTTTCTCTAAAAGTCTCGTTTTTTGTCATGCGTCGTAGGAACACATCCTGTGAGCATTCAGGCCTAATGAAATCTTTATTTTGGTCTATATTTACCAAAAATATGAAAATAAACTTAGATATGATAAATAAACATTTGATGAGAATTTCAGTATATTGTGCCTTTTATTTTTCGTGAAAAACGTTTTTTCCATGATTACACTGGACAACCCACGTATTTTGATTTTCATTGTGTAATACTTTTTTTTATATTTCCATATTGCATTTGTCCTATTCTGGTGATTAATATTACCTGGTCTCTTAATTCTGATACAAAAGATTGTTACTTTTTCTAAACACTGAAATGTTCATTATATCAGATAATGCTTTTATTTTCAAAATTTCAAGCTATGCCTTTCAGTAGGATAACAAGCTTGTATTAAAATAAATAAACTTACCTTTCACTATACATTTTTAGTGGCACAAATATTGAAAACTTTACATTACTATTATGCTTTACTCATATTTTAGGTCAAACATACTCAGGATATATTTCCCGGAGAAAATGCATACATTCTCATAACGTGCATCCAAGTCACTTCCGGCATGGGAAGGATAATCTTCGGAAAGATAGCTGATTTGGAATGTGTGAACAGAATCTACATGCAACAATGTGCTTTTGTTGCTATGGGCTTTGTGACAGCATGTATTCCATTCTCAAGCAGCTTTGAGGGACTTATAGCTATTTGTCTTGTTTTAGGATTAAGTGATGGGATCATGGTATTTCTGATAGGTCCTATTGCTTTTGATATCGTTGGTCGTAAAGATGCATCACAAGCTATCGGATTCCTGCTCGGCGGATTTTCTGTTCCATTTTCGGTTGGCCCCCCGATTGCAGGTAAACTAAACGTGTATTTCATTAAGACAAAATTATTTTAATTGAGTGTATGATCGAGAATTTTCTCTTATAAAGAAAGGTTACAATATGACAATGTTGGGCATAAACCTATAGATCTACATAGATCTACACTTTACAGTGTATATTCGGTATACAGGGACATAGAGCAGTTAGGCTTCGAATTGGTTACCTTGCAAACGCATCACGTGAAAAAGTGTTCAAGTTTATTTTAAGAAGACACATTTACCAAGAATAGATGCTTTTGTATGTTTTGTACAGGTTTATATAATAATGAAGCTAAACGTCTCTTTTTTCATTCTTCCTTTGTCGAGACTTAAAAGCCGATTGCATCTTTTTTTTCTATTAGTATTTGAACTGATCCAAATTTTAAAAAAGTTATAAAAAAACACCTGAAGTTTATTTTTTCCTATTTGTTGTTTTAGATAAACAGACTTTAATTTAATTTACAACTTTAGTACTTATAACAAAAATGTTGATGACCCTAAGATAAATCGTTTCCGTCACAAAAATAAACCATTAAACAAAATGTGATCTGAATGAGATTTGAAAATGTGTTTCTACAATTTAGCAGATGGCATTACAAATTGGCATATTAATCTAAACCAATTATATTTCAAATACAATACAAAATCCTAAGATCAGTATCGAAACACACAAGAAATGTGAAATTTGCTTCTTTAAAAGTCTTTCATGAATACAATTTGTCTACAATTCGTGATCTTCGTGACTTAAACAGTTATAATAATTGATCTCACTTTTAAGATGTATTTTACACTTTATTAATTAACCATGTACAGTTATTTCTTATCGGTTTTGCCACAGAAAAAAATTATTAAAATGAAACGGTAATACCCAAAGAATAAATGCGTATTGTTAATTATAGTGAACCTATGGTTTCAGATTTAAGAACATAATCTAGATATTATTTCAGGTTTACTTTATGATCATCTGAAAACCTACGAAATAGCATTTGTTGCTGCTGGTCTTCCGCCTATTTTGGGTGCCATTATAATGTGCCTCATACCAAGATTGCACATCGAGAATGTAAGTCATTTTGATTAAACAAATCTTACAGTTTTATCCTATGTTAGAAACACGAAAGGAAATTTTAAAAAGCCTATATTTTTTGATAAATCAAAATTTTAAAAGTATACAATATATATTTACTGATGTTTACCTTTTTATTAATAAGAAACATCAAATAAATGTAATAATTTTTTTTGTTATTGAGAATATTTATACATATATATGAATCAATTTCTGTTTCAATTGGTCTGTTTAAAAGAGATAATGTTTTACAGGAGAAAAAGATCCCAACAATTCTTGATCCCGAAGGTGAATCAACAAACATGTTAGATGGTTATCAGTTACAAAAGATTGAGTCAGGTAGATATAATATATCATTAAAAAAGAAAAACAACACGTCAATAAATCTTGAAATTTGTATTACTAATTCATCTACGAGTATAAACTTTAAGGTGTATGCATTTTTATATAAGCTGTATCATATGTTTGCATATTCATATTTCATAGATAAAATAATTTGATAACATTTGAATTTTAAAAAATCATCTTTTTTTTTCATTTTCTTTAAAAACAATTTATTTTTACATTTTAGCGTGTCCTAATAATGTATATCACAAACATATATAGGAATAAAATTGTATGCATTGCATTTATCATCAGAATATCTAAAGAAAACGTGTTCCATAATTACATAATAAAACGTGATTTTTTTTGTAGAACTGCCATCTCCTATAGAGTGTGAGGACAAAAGCCCTCTCGACTTACAGGATGAAATAATACAGAAGGAACTGTGCTACAAGCCGCATTGAAAATGACGATTCACCAAAAAAAATATTTAAAATCAATTGAAGATAAAATTAAAGTTGTTATGTTGACAACAGATCTCCTAGTTACGTTCATTCATGTGCATTGCAATAGTAGATATCAGATTAACTTTTGTAAGATTCCTTTCATATTTCAGTATCTCAACACTGCCAAGGAAAATATAATATGATATTGATGTTCTGAAATACTAAGTATATAGCCAATTTCTTTCCTGATGCAATGAAATAAAATATGTTAAATTCCAATAATTTATACTCCTTTGAATATCCCTCTTTATATTCAGTGCAATGCAGTTTTTTTTTTATTGTCGCCTATAATAATCATTTATATTGAAAAACAAAGATCGTTGGTAACTTTATACAATTATTGACTTTTGAATTCGGTGTACTCGTGACGATACAGACCTGGTCAGGTATTGGTTGACCGAGGCCAAAGGACGAGGTTAACCCAATATCTGACCAAGTCTGTATAGTCACGAGTACACCGAATTCAAAAGTCAATAACCGTTTTATTAAATGATCAGGAATTTTACTACACTTTTAACACTTTCAATCTTGTCTCCATCAAATAAAAACACCCATAATATAATTGTCATGACTTATCTAGTTGACAACTAGTAGTTAAAAATGGAAAACAATATTATCAAACAATCAATACTCAACCATTTACATTCAAAAGCCTTTAATCTGCTTGGTACTGGCGTCTGACATGTTTACATTCACACCGACGCATGCTTTGAAACACGCAATCTAATTAGTCGAAAAAACTGTAAGCAAATCTATGGTTGGCCAAGAGGGAAAACCCGAATAAACCTCCTAGAACGTCATATGAGGTGAACTCACTCTGAGGTACACCCCAGAAAAGAGCGTCTAGACCAATCAGAGAGCACCAAAATTCCTGATCATTTGATAAAACTTATTGTCATAATGAAGTCCTGATATCTACAGAGGTTTATAAATACTAATTTGAAAATTCTCATATTTTGGAGGTACGTGTTTTCCTTGCTCCTATTTTGTATTGTTTTACGGACATTTGAGCTTGAATACTGTTTGTTTTCTCCGTATATTTTTTTTGATAATTTTTTTTTAAATAAAATGAAAGTTTTTTCCTTTCTAGTGTTTTTTACCTTACCAATAATTAAGACGTAAAAAGCTCATAAACTTATTGACATTCTATTTGCGCCAATGTAAACAAACCTGCCTTGTTAAATGATTTAAAAGTTTAAAAGGAAAAAAAGATAAATGAATATTGGAAGAGATCCAAGGTCAGTTGACAGAATATTACGTAACATGTAGTGATAGCAATCGAAAAGCTGGAGACTTCTTTGCAGAATTTAGGGAAGAGGTATGTGGCTATGTGTATTTTCCAAAGATTCTGTCATTTACGATGTAATAAATTGTTAGACAACAAAATTATTGCAGATGATCTCCGGCATTTTAATTGCATGACTTTGTTTCGTTTTTTTTTTTTCAAAGGAACTTTTGATTTTATGTGCTATTTACACCTCCCACTATAAATACGGACATTTTCTCATAAATAAAAGATGAATAATTATTCTTGCATACGCGATAGGTTAATAGCTTTGAAAAAATTGTATTCATTGTATTCATTGTATAAAGCGCACAGGAAATTTACACCCGTACTAGCAGTTGACTTCGATCAAACACCATATGATTAAATCATGTTTCAGATTTCAAAAACAATAGACATTTTGTTTAATAAAACTTGAATTTAAAGATTGGATTGCATATTGTAGAGAAACAGATAATACATGTAGTTTTACAAACAATCGTATAATTCTTTAATACGCCTATGTAATTAAAATCTATTGTAGAAGCAAACATCATCAAGTTGTTGCTATTGTAGAAGCAAACATCATCAAGTAGTTGCTATTGTATAAATGACCTTCAAAACAAAGGAACATAACAGATGGAATCTAAAAAAAGTAATGGATTTAAAATCAATTTTCAACGTAATAATTCTATACTTGAGTGCTTTTCTGCGCAGTTATTTTCTTTTTAAACCTTGAGTCATAAAACAGACTTCAAGTAGATTAAAAAATGAGTGACATAGGAATTGACTAAAATTGTTTGAAACAAAACACAGGTACCAAAATATTTAAGAAACAAAAACGCATTAAATAACACAACGACAAAAGACACTTACTTTAGTGCTTAGATTGATAACGGAAAGTGTATTCACCAGAGAACTTTAAATATCGCAATGCAGTTGAAATCTTATAATGAAATAAACCATTACACACATTTATATATTAAATATATAATATAAACCGAAACAATGGTTTTTTAAATACTAGGCTACGAACACTAAGGTATCACATGTTAAAATTGGCAATTGTTCTGTATTGATGTGTATGTTATTCATCTTTTGCATTTGCAAACAATTATACAATTCATTAAGTTTTAAATATACTTGAAAATAAAAAAAAAACAGAAAAATGTCACTCTATTTCATTATAAAGTGGCAATTTTTATGGAAATACATATAGACAGTACTTATTATATACAACCAAACATGTAGTATTCAATGTTCTGTGTATATTTGATGTTTTTTTGTTAATAAAGAAAATGGAAAAGGTTTACAAAAGAATATTATTCAAAGTGAATATAATCAGTTAATTTCAGCAAAGTTTTCCCTGTGAAAGTCTAGACGCATATGTTGCATATATTATAAATGAAGGTTTTAGGTGTTTATTTTTTATATACAGTTTTTTAAAACCCGTCTTTTAAAGACATGCCAGTTGATTATCTAATGAAGGATATGAACATAACGAACAGTTTTCAATATCAAAGTCTTTAGAACAATACAAATTAGGAGCAAAGCAAACACGGACCACCAAAACATCAGAGGTGGGATCAGGTGCCATGGAGGAGAGAGCATCCCCTGCCGACCAGTCATATCCACCGTATGCTCATTGTCATGATCGGGAAAAAATTAAAAAAATCCGTTGACAATTCAGTGCATAAATAATGGACGAACAATAAATATGAAGAACGTCAGTCACCATTTGACTTAATGATAAATTGTATTTGCTGACAGGGTCATCGTATTGACCATAGAACTTACGAAATGATGATTTTAAAAGAGACTACTGATATTCATGTTTTATCAAATTTTTTTCAATAATTTTCCTCGTTTTGGAAATTGTTCATACCTATAGAATGCTCTTGCGTATCGAATCAACTGTTATATTTAAACTACGTATGAAGGTGATGAAGGTATATTGCTGCATTCGTAAGGGAAGTTGACGATAGAAAAGATAATGTCACGTTTGCCATAGAGCTTGGTTGTAAGATTACCATTAAATAAATAGAGGATATTCAATGTTTTGTAGTTGAATATGGAATTTATTTCACGAGTGGGACAGGATTTTTAATATTTTCACGAGTGCGAAGCACGAGTGAAAATACCAAAAACCCTGTCTCACGAGTGAAATAAATTCCATATTCAACTACAAAACACTGAATTTTCTGTTTATTACATTTTTAAAATAAAATTCTTTGATTTTTCCTTTGCCTCTGTCTTTTTGTTATGCAGTCATAGGCTCGTGACGTCATAGTTGAGCGGTTGAGACGTCATAGCTTTATGAGGTGAAAACATAGATTTAGCAACATATTTTTTGGTAATTTTAACCATTTTATTCGCTGTCAGACTGGTTTATTTATTTTCATCTATCTTATATTAGGTCAAGGAAGATTTTTTTACAGCAATCTTCGTTATGGGAAGGGAAATCGAGAGTTTTCCCGCACTTCTGATATTCATCACACTGTGACAGGATATCATTTTGATATCCTTTCACAGTGTGACAGGATATAATTTTTATTCAATAAATAAGTTACAGTATTTCACGGGTAAAAATGTAATAAATGTCTTTTTTCAAATAAAATATCCGAGTATGAAACAGATATGTCAGGGTTGGATATATATATTTAAATATTTACATGTATCTATATGTACTAACTTTCATTTCCATAAAACAAAGATAGAGTAAAAGTGTTAAATAGGACAATCTGATCTCGAATGCATGACCTCTGGATAATTATCTAGGAACATTATCCTTCAACTTTAGTATGCCGACTAACGAACTATCAACCAAAGAATATATCATTTTCCTATTTTTTTTGGGGGGGGGGTGGGTAGGGGTGGGGGGGGGGGGTCACTTAAATGAATGTATAATAACTCAAAGTTTGTCCAGTAAATGCTGTTTTAGATATAGATAAGACGTAAAAACGAAATGACTTCCTTATATTTATTTATATTATATTTATATTATATTGTTACACATACCTACTTAGAAAAGTTTTAAATAAGGATTCGCGGGTATATTCACCGAAAAACATCCGAGGTCAGTTGAAAGGGTATTCTAACTACGCATAATTACATATATTACAGCTGAAAACCAAGAGACAACTGAGGAGACTTGCATTTATATTCGTAATCCTGTGTAAAATCCAACAGTTATTGAATCATTTCAACAAGAAAGGTAATCATTTTTTCTTATTACTGATGATTGTGTCTAAATTGTATCTTAAGAATCTGTGATTTTATTTTTTGCTTATGTAAACACAGACTGTTTTGCTTTGGATAATACAAATATATGCATACTATAATATTGTCATTCTGTTAAAATATATAAGGAGAGGAGAATTTTTTTTCACCTGGCTTTTTCTCATTATACTGTTTCTTGGATAAACTGTTGTTTAAGTGACATTTTGTCAAGTGCAAGGTCTGAAGGTTACAACAAGATTGTATTCAACCAAATTTTCATCCTATATAATTGATTTTTACATCTATTCAGTTTATGAATAGCGTAATCTTTACTTGATTTTGAAATGTTGAATTCTTTATCGTACATCACACCAAGCGTACCTAGAATTTGTAAATGGTGCATATAAAATGTTACCCGCTCACAATATGTAATTTTCCTCTCCGATAAAATAGAATTTTGAAGATTGACTTGCATCTTCTAACAAAATTCAAAAATGTCCAAATGAAAGTAATATTTATAAAACGTGCATATTAAATGATTAATTTTAAATATCATTATCAAAACGAATAGCATTGTATAAGTTTGCTTTTAGCATTCATCAATGAATAACTCAGCTAAAAAAATATGCAATAAAGTGCATTAAAGTGAGACAATTTTCCTTTTGAATAGAACGTTTTGAGTTATATTTCGACTTTGAATGTCATATAAAGACTCGCAGTTTTCGTTAGAAATGAAAAATCGGTCATATAGTAAATTTAAATACTTGTAAAACAGGTATTCCATAAATATAATAGCCAATTACATTGATTGATTGATTGTATATCATTTAACGTCCCTCTCGAGAATTTTTCACTTATATGGAGACACCACTATTTGACAGTGAAGAGCTACAAATTTTTGTCCTATACATGTACTCGGCATTCAGGGCCATTGAACATTGAGCGATCTTTTCCGTGCCAGCACCTACTGCGAAACGGGACATCGGTTTAAACAGTCTCATCCCAAAGACCTGTCTCCACCTCTGACAGTTGGTTTCGAATCTGCGGCGTGAGGATTGGCTCCTTACCTCGCGACTCTTAAGCAGACGCCCTAACCACTGCGGCACTCGGGCGACCCAATCAAATTGAAATAATAATTAAACATTGTGAATTCAAATTTAGGTACAAAGTCGATGTAATACGTGTTTTAAAGAAAGGGTGACTGTATAACTCTCGTCTTTACTTTCTAGAATCCATTTTGGTGTAACTCAGTTTGCTAGTCGCACATAGTAGGGTGTCATAAAGCATTACGACAAAAATTTCTCTCTCTCTCTTTTCTAAAGAAATGTTCGTGTCATTATGTAACTTCAAGTTCGGTGGGAACACCCAAACTTTTCATTCAAAGGAAAACCTATACCACTTCAATGCGCTTCATTGTAAAGAAATATAAAAAGAAGCAAAAATAAAACAAAATTAGGCAAGGGATGTTCACCCCTCCATGGCACCAGATCCCACCTCTGATGTTTTTGAGGTCAGTGTTGTTTTCTCCCCCAATTTTGTATTGTTTAATGGACTTTTGAGCTTGAATACTGTTCGTTATCTCCGTCGTATTTCATGTATATACTTGTTTTGAGTAAGTAAAAAGGTATTCTTTTAAAACTTTTATCAAGTATTAAATACTAGTCGGTCTTATTATCAAATATCCTAGATCCCAAGGGCTTTACTTTAAATTCATCAATCTGAACTTAAAACAATTATGCCTTGTAACTTTTATTTACACATGTGTCCCATTTGTAATTAATGTAAACTCTTTTTACCTTCAAAACCAAGAAAAGGATTTTTTTAAAAAATCTTAATGATATAAATTAAAGATTTTGAACACGTCAACTACTTATAACGTCAATCTGAAAGTAAGTCAATCGCTTATGACTAAACTTTGAATTAAGAGGCATATGACGAACCTGTTTATTTACATACAATGTATTTGAATACCTTGTCCAAATTATTTCATCCATAAAGAAAAGATACTATCGTTTTTCATACTTTTTGATAGGTCATCATTAACATACTGAATTGTCTACGGATTTTTTTCTGTTATTTTCCGAGACAAAGAGCACACGGCGGGTTTGACAGGTTGGTAGGGATGCTCACTAGTGCATTGCACCTGAATTCACCTCTGATGTTTTCGAAATCCGTGTGTTCTCTGCTCCTGATTTGTATTAATTGATTAAACTTCTGAGATAGAATACTGTTCCATATATTTCTCTGGAAAAAAATCTATCAAAAGTATGTAAAAGTGTTTTTGCATTAGAAAAGATACAAAGTCTTCAAAAAACAAGCAAAATGACATTGGCTTTTTTTCATTTGAAGGTTTTAAAATATAATTACAAACATGAAGAACAGGAAGAAAACCCTCATTTTATCACAACATTTATTTAATAGTGCAATGTTTTTGTACAATGTTTTGTCTTTTTTGTGCATTCTGTGTGTTTTCATCACACGGAACAAATAGGGATTATTTCCTTTGTTGCATTTGCAAATTAACATCGTACAAAATGAAAAAAAAGTTATCATATTTCAGCAAATTTTTACTCTTGAAATTCGGGGGGGGGATATTACTCATGGATAATGAAATATATGGAGATAACAAACAGTGGGCCAGCCCTGAAGCCAATAAAGCAATACAAAATGTACAAACGTTGGAACAGAGTAAACATGGATTTCTAAAAATCATAGGTGGTATCAGGTGCCATGGGGGAGTGAGCTTTTCCTGTGGACCGGTCACACCTGCTGTGTGCTCCTTGTCCTGATCGGGAAAATAACGGAAAAAATTGTCGACAATCCAGTGTGTAAATATTGGCTTAACAATTAGTATAGAGCTATTAGTCAGTATGTGACTTAATCATAGAATGTATTTGTTAACAAGGTCATGATCATGATACTGATATTCTTGTTTCATTAACTTGTTTTCAATAAATAACCTCGTTTTAGAAATTTTTCATACATAGAGCATGCTCTAGTTCATCAAATCTACTGAGAAAAATGAACTGAGTACGTCGTCGATATAATAAAATGTCGAATTAAAGGCCACGGCAAGTGTTTTCTTCTTTTCACGTAAAATAGTTTGGGGAAATCATGCTTCATATGAATACAAAAATAGTCCTGCTAATAACGGGGCGTAATTTGTATCCAATGGGAATTCTAATCGATTGTTGGAAGACCTTGCCTCCTAAAGCCAACAAGATATTATCAATCAGAAACTCAAGCATCTGGTTAATCTCAACTTCAGAGTACAAAGAAATTTTGAAAATGACCAATGACAAAATTTACGAGATTTCCGTTTTTATTGAAAAAGAAAGATAAAAAAGTTTTGACTTAATTATAATTTAATCGTGGGTAATTGTTGTATATAAAGTTGAAAAGTAATTTTTATGCTCTTAGAGTCTCGTGATTTTAGATTTTCGATATTTAGAAACTGTAAAGTTTTTTGTAATAAAAAGTTTGGAAGCAAAAGTAAATGTATATTTGTAGGAAATACAAGATGATATCTTCAAATGGAAATGTAGTGGAATACAAGACTGGACAATTTTGTGATTGAAAATATTACTGATATTTATTAACTGCGTCAATACCTTTGTTGGAATTTTTGAGTTTAAGGAAGAAACGAATTTTAAATTAATTTTTATAAATTCATTAAAAAGTATTTATGCACATCTGCAGCTGCTTTTAAAAGAAAAGATATAAGTAGAATTATATTATTTGAACAAGAACTATTCATTATGACCTAAAATATTGAGAGATGCTGTTTGGTACATGTAATCACAGATTTGCACGTTTTATGTTCGATTCAATGACCTTGTCAGCAAATACAATCTATCATTACGTCAAATACTGCTTGGCGGTATTATTCTTATTGTTAGGTAACAATTGAACACTAACTTGTCGACGGATTTTATTGTTTATTCCTGATATCATGACAATTAGAACAAGGTGGCTGTAACTGATCGATAGGGAATGCTTACTCATCCATGGCACCTGATCCCAACTCTGAAATTATAGAAGTCCTTGTTTCCTGTGCTCCTGCTTGTATTGTTTGGATAGACCTTTGAGCTTGATAATTGTTCTCTATCTCCATTATTCATTTAAAGTGAATCTTCTTGTTTTAGAAAGCTGTTCATAATGACCAAAGATGCTGAGAGTATAGATCCTGTAAAGGATGTCGAAGAAGGTACCCAGATGCTTGAAAATTCAGGCAGTTTAATGCAAACCCTCAACAGAGATGACCAAGAAGAAGAATTTACACCCATTGACGGAGGCTGGGGCTGGGTTGTATGTTTCACATCACTTCTAACCAACGGAACAGTGTTTGGAATCATCAACACTTTTGGAATAATACATGTATTTCTAGTCAAGGAGTATGCTGTGAATGATTCATCGATCTCTTTCAAAACATGTATGTATATTTTACGAGAAACAGTTGCTTATAAGTCATTTCCTTAAAAAATGCGACTATATACTTTGATAAAAAATAGAAGTAAAAACTTTAAAATTAAAACGAAAATATTAATAGAATTCATAAATAGTTATTTGGTGTTCAAAACAATGTGGTATCGTAATTTGAAATTTGAAATCCAGTAAACCAAACTAATTGTGAACAGGACATAAATCTAATTAAACTCCTGAAAACATGGAAATGGGATCAGCTGCAAAGGAGGAATGAGTATCCCTGTGGTCATACCCGCCGTGATCCCTATGTATATACCCCGTATATTGTGTACTCCAAGTCAAATGAAAATTAAAGAAAGATAACCAAACAAATGCAATCAAACATTTCAAATAAAAAAAAAACTTTTTCAATAAATTATGTTTACAAACAATGTTATTTTAACGATCGTAGAATTTGCAAAAACTGAAATTAAAAGGGGTTGTTGAATTACTTGAAACATCAACTTACCTGTCAGTGGATTTCCTTGGTATGAAAATTGATCATACCTAGAGTAAGATATTGCTTATCGAGTATATTGAGAGATAAAAACGCCCTATGCAATAAAAATTGGAAATTTCAATATAAATAAGCTAGGATCAAAAGGCTGATGTCATTAGATACCATGTCTTGACATCAGTCTATCAACTCTGTCAGAGAAAAAAACCCATTATATTGCACTACTGAACTTAAAATTCCCTGATATTCTGAAAAATCTCTGATAAACTCTGTTACCCACTGTCAAAGTTCTGCTTTTCTCTGTTTAAGCACTGTACAGTCACTGTACAAAATCCCTGTACCTACTGTAATCCTCGGTAAATCACAGTACAGAGTCACTGTTATTTTTTGTACATCCCTGTACATTACTGTACGTCCCCACTGTACAGTACAGTACACCACTGTCTGTCACTGTACGCCTCCACAGTACAACACTGTACATCACAGACAAGTACAGTACTTAACCTCTGTACAGCACAGCACAGTACTGTTGATCACTGTACGGGCCCCAGACTGGCACTGTACATCACTGAAGTTCAATGTACGCATCTCAGTTTGGCACTGTACATCACTGAACTATACTGTGATCTTTTCATAGACTTATTTAACTTTTACAGTTCCTAAATTTTACAGATTTTTTAACTTCACTAATTATTTAGATTAAGCCGTGGGTATTTTAGACTTACTTAGTAAATTGAGAGTGATAATTTTGTGTTGATAAGTACACTCAGTATACACATACCGTATATAAAAAGTTAAAAAAAAAATCCTATAGATTATACTCGTAGTATCATAAATTATAATGAATAATTGTCGTTTTCACATAGATCGATGTTGCGGTAAACGGCTAAATTTCATTTCTGCATGGATTTTTTCTTCTTTTTTAACCTTTAATAGTTTTCATCTCCAGCATTTTTCATGTAGTGTTTAGCAGAAATGAAATATTTCGGTTTAGTCAATTACAATCCATGTCGTGATGTAACGTGAACATTATTAAAGTGGACAGTGAGCCCTCGTTTCTTATTTATTTGATTGTAAAGAAAGATCAATTAATTAAAAGTTAATATTTCATTAAAACACATTTATTATCATCTGTAAATTCTATTAGTTGATAATATGTTGTGTCAACTTCATGACCATATGGAGAGTAAAATAATATTTACATATTTATCAATAGTTATTTATCTAAGATTAATTTGAAAAAGCTGGCCTGCCCGGTACTATATTTAGTTTTTTTTATCTTGGTTTTAATTGTGAGTCTTAAAATGCAAACAACAGATCGAGTGTAAGATTTTTTTTCCTTCTCTTATTAATTGAGTTGAGAGTAACAAAAGAAAATTAATTTTTCAGAATAAATATTAATTAGATAAATGGTGAGTTGTTGATTAGCAAAAATGCCAACATTCAGGGGAGGGAGGTGTGTCTAATGTCAATCTGGTACTAGTGGATATTTATGACATTTACCTTAATAAGTACACTTTTAAGTATGAAAAAACCCATTCATTTATTAATGATCAGCAGTACAAGTCAAATCTACATTATAATATGACCCTAAATCCTAGCTAAGCTAATAACTTATGAATGACACAGACTTATTTAGAAAATGCATTCAGCATTGAAGGCACGTTTCACTAGTCAAAGTGGTTGGAGAAACATATAATTATCTTCATTATTCAAATCCATGTCAGAATACCACACTAGTACTCGGCATTTAAATATTTGGAATTAAAATCTAGATCGTGTTCCGCTCTTCACGATCTTCAGACTGAAAAAAAAAACGTGAAGGAAAACTCTCAGACAACTCGGACAAGCCATCAAGTTATTCAAATTACAACATTCAGTTTTTGATTTTTTTAATTGAATAATATAACTTTTTTATCCACAAACTTTGTATAATCTAACCTTACCAGAATACCTGTAGAATTTCAATAGAAAATACAGCTAAGATCTCGAGTGAACTAATAAATAATAATTTTCTTTTTAAAATCCTTGATCCGCGCCTTTTCTTTTACATGCTTACGCAATCCGGCAGAACCAAGGTAGTTTCTTGTATATCACATGTTATTTGCAATGGTCAGTCTAACAATAGACCCTAATTGTCTTTTGTTCGTGTCTCACCAGTGATGATGTAAGTTGCAAATATACAAACTAACTGACCACTCCGAACAAGGCAGAATTTTCACAAATTCTCTATACTTACCGTGATACCGGGTGCATGTACATTATCAATGAAACATGTAAATGTACATATGTATATTAAAAAGAAAAAAATGCTTATTAAATAGAAAAAAAAATGTTTGAATTAAAAACTGAAGTACATTAATGTTGTACCAGAGACTTACTGCATGCCTCTGGTTGGACTCTAGTTTTTTTAATCGTAGCTGTCAATGTTTTTTTTTTTTTTTTTTTTTTTTTGTTGTTTTTTTTTTTTTTTTTTTTTTTTTGAAACGTACGAAAGCCGACGAAAATTTGTTTTAAACATATTTAATAATATTACGCTATTAATCGGAACATGAAATGAACTTAACAGAAGACAGAATTCGAAAATATTACATTATTATGTTTTAATTTTTATCGTTTCTCCGAGATTATATTAGACACATATTATCAGGATTATAAACTTTTAATTAATTAATAATAATTAATAATGAATTATAAAAGACGTAAGAAAAAATAATAGTACATGTATTCAAAATCAAGTGACAAGAATTTGAATGAACCCAGAGAGATGGAGTGAAAGAGCGATACAGACAGAAAGAGTAAATGATTTAGCAATTTGTAAAATAAATCATTAATATAATAAAACACACAGAGAAAGCGCGAGGGAAAAAGTGGGGAGAGAATACTTCTGTAAACTACAATGGATCATAATTAGTTTGTCAAAAGTTACTGGAAAACTGAGATACAGTCTTCAATAAGTTCGTCCATACTAAATATTAGGAAGTCTTCTAAATAATGGGGAGGGGGGGTGTGTTAAGACGTCGTAATTTGTTTCAACTGCTGTCTAATAAGATATAATCACAGTATTGTAATGAAAACAAGATTGTCATAATAAGTAAGTTCCAAGAAAATTTCATTCAAAATTGCGCTTAAAAAATGGATGATATGAAATATATTGAATAAATCAATAACATGTAATATTTGTCATTATTTGACTTTTATCGATGTTTCAGTATCATTTTGTTGATTGACACCGTTTCTTCAGTACGTCAGACTGGGTAATTTTTTTAATAACTTAAAGGATTTTTTGTATGTTTCTCCTGTTTAAATAATAAATGCGTTCATGGCACAATCGTTGAGTCGAGAATATCGAGGAAATGACAACGGAACTAATATGGGACCTCACTGCTGCATACGGCATTGAATACAGATCATAATACCCATATATTGTGCAGACTATTGGGTAAAATTTTCCTAATAGATAAAATTTTCACAATATTAAACAAAGTTTATGTGCATGTTTTAAATTTGTGTTGTGAGAATCGGTATCGCACGGCGGAGAATAAAAATATGCTAAGGACCTATCTAGAAGACAGACACGGGCCCTGCGTGCGAGTACATGAACCCGACATGTAGAAATTTGGTTAGATTTTCCACAAAAACAGAGGAATTAAATATTGTATATATTGAACATGTTTGAAAAAAAAAACCCAATTTACTGGGGAGCTGAAAACACGGGGCCTAAGGATCAGTTAACGAGAAAGATCCCTCACTGCAGAGTTATATGCAGTGTAATTGATCAAAAATAGATAAATAAATAAATAAATAACCAATCAAACATACAAATAAATAAACGAGATCAGAATATTGGTTGACGTTTGCACAAGAATAGCTAACTTTAATTGCTTCCTATAGATTTGTGCATTGAAAATCGGTCATGGCACGATTACAAGGATCTGATGGCACGGAGGTTAAAAAAGATCCCTCAGTGTTTCACAGTTCAGATGTAAATTTGTAATAATTCATTGGCAATTTCAGCATTTCTTATTTGAATATAAAGTTCCCAAAGGGTCTTACATGTAAAAGAAAAATAATAAATTAATATTTTAGAAAATTAATGCCAAAGAAATGCTACAATTATTTAAACTGTGAAGTATTGAGGGATCTTTCTCATTCCCGGGTCTTTGACTTCCGGGCCATCAGTTTCGTGCCATCAGATCTGTGCATCGTTTTACTCAACCGTGCCATGACCGATTTTAGGGGATCACGGTTGAATTTTATATTTAATCACTCAAGGGAACCTTAAGAGTTTTTTTTTTTGGGGGGGGGGGGGGCTTACGCGCGACATTATTTAAGATTGATGACATATTTTGACAATGTCATTGATTGGTGTAAGATTTTCTTTTTCGCCATATTTTTTTCTTTTTTATTTATCTTTTTTAAGTATCATATCAAAGGAGGGGGTGTCAAATATTAACAGTACTGTTCCCATCGATAAAAGATTGCATGAAGTTTGATTAATAAAAACAAATAACTAAAATACATATTTTTTTTATTTACAGATATACATGTATATTTAGGGACTTGTTGAAATAGGCACTACGAAAGTGCAATAAAGAATTCACACTGACAGAGTAAATAATATTTTTAAATCTAAAAATGTAAGCGCTATTAACAGGGAAAATATATCAGTGTTAATTTTTTTTTTATCTTAATCATATTCATTGATTATCGTTCATTAACAGTAACTTTAAATTTATTCTGTTGCTAGGAAATAGTTAAAATTTCTGTCAAAATTAGTTTTTATCTTAGCTAATCAGAGTTAGAATGTTATGTGCATGTAATCTTAACAGTGTCTTTAACAATTATTTGATACCATCTTTTTCGCAAGTATTTTTGTCAGGTTAACAAGATTACAGAACTTTTAAATACAGCATCGCGTGTTTACAAACAACCAAAACGGACTTTGTATATTGTACACTATCGGTAGCGCCGTGAAGTACCCCGGAAAGTAAGACGACAGGTGTCACTGCCGCCATGGACACTCGCCGGCTACATGTATATACAAACATGTAATATTACGCAACATTGAAGTGACACGTGGATTCGAAAATATCTTCTCTCCTTCTCTCTCTCTCTCTATTTTTGTGTTTCAAGTAAAGTGTTATTATAAAAAAAAAGAAAACAAAATAAGAAATAATGTGTTAAAATATTATAATTTATTGGTCGACGTGAATTTAAGCTTGATCTTTCATAAATAAATTTTAGTATCATTAATTTGGAATTATTAATTTAAAACTGTACTAGTTTATCTTTCTTGTAACTTTTCTACAATGCTATATTTCCTAAACTGATCAGTTATCCAAAGACATAATCATTGTGTGGTTTATGTGTTTCAGTGTTTCCGATTTATTCGGCGGAAATTTTTGCTATTTTACTATAGCTAAACTCAACTTTTTTAATTATTTTTTTTATTTTTATACAAATTTCATATTAATATTAGGATGTTTTTGAATCAAAGAAGTGTTGCACTGCCACTGAAAGATTGCTATTTAAAATCTGAAGGTTATTCTTGTAAAAAAAAATCAAACAATCAAACAAACAACATCTTATAAATAAGTCATACCATATCAATAAGAATTTAAATTCATTTCAATATTTTTTAACAAACATACATGGAAGATTAAGTCCGTCTTTAACTAAAAATTAGTTTTATTTACATTTATTTTTTTTGCAGTTTGACATTCGCTCATTTTTTTTTAAACTTGAGATCTAGAATTATAAGAATTCGGATTTAGGGATATGTGTGATTAGTTCACGTGAAAAAAAAAGAATTTATTTAAATGCCTTAGCCATTGTACATTCGATGCTCAAATTGATTTTTTAAGATTATATAAATATAGGATTATGCAGAAAACGATTATTTAATAATAAAAATTCGGTTATTGTAAAACAATTAAGATCAATATATTTTATTTCATGTAAAGAAACATGTAAGTATGATCAGTTGTAGCTATTGCTGATGAAATAATGACAACTAGCAGATAAATCAATTGTCATAAAAATTGGGAAAAAAAAACTTCTTTTTTTTATTTTAGAAGGACAGTACTATGTATTATCTTGTAGAAAGGGAAAAACTGATTTTGTTCATATATGTGTGACCGTGTGCCTATAGATACATAATAATAAAAAGAAGATGAAGGTACATAACTACATGTATGCGTGATTGAAATGTATCTACATAATCACTGTGTACATAATTGTATATAAAAGTTGAAGTCAATAAAGTTAGGACAGAGGTAAATGCAATAGGGTTTTACTTTACAAAAGAAAGAAAGCAGAACATTATCAGCGGATTTAAATAATTAAGTCAGCTCAAAAAATTACCGGTATTTTCATTAAACGTGTAATTTCCAAAATATAGGTATGATCGGTGAATAATTATCATCCTCCGTACACAGAATCATGAAGAAAATCAAATGAAATATTAAAACATCTGAAAAAGATTATTGATTAAAGATTTTTTAAAAAGCCTTTTAAATCAGAATTTTGTCTCCGTTATTTTTTTAACAGACGTGATATTGGAAATTTCACCTAAAAATGCTTACACAGAGGAAACATGAAAATATAAATACCAATTTGAATAAATCTTTGTTGACAGAATTATTATTGTTAATTCAGTCATTAACTAGAATTAAGACTTCCTATTAAATCTAAAATTAAAAAAACAAAAAGTACAGGGAAAATCTGTACCGTACAGTAATGTACAGAACTGTGTACTGTGAAATACCGTGATGTACTGTAATGTACAGTATATGTGTACAGGGCATAATAGTAATGTACTGTGAAGTACAGTAATATGTACAGTAAAAGTCTGTGACGTACAGTGAAAAACAGTGACTGCGTACTAGGAAGTACTGTAGAGTACTGTGATGTACAGAGGAAACGTACTGTGAAGTACAGGGAGTTGCTGTGAAATGCTGTGCTTCTGTACAGTGATTTACTGTGTTGTACTGTAAAGTACAGAGGCAAGTACAGAGATTTACAGTGAAAGTACAGAGTCTTTCAGACATTTTCAGAGAATAATCAGAATATCAGGGATTTTCAAGTCCAATGCAATTGGATCCTCCTTATTTTTTAGTACATAAGATGCAATCTTTGACCATTTTGGTTACTATGATTACAAACATTTGTATATAATACAGAGTCTGACACACCTGATTCATATTTAGATCCTTTACCAGAAAAAGACATTAATGGTAATCTAGAAACAAAGTTTTATGAAAAACGATACGAATTTCAATTTTCAGTCGATTACTTCCCTGACTTATTCAGCAATGTACCATTATTACCTGCATATGGTGTTAATATATCAGTTGATTCGACACGCAAGTCATGCTCTTCTCATGAACAATTTCTAAAATGAGATTACGTCATTAAAAACAAGTTGATGAAACAAGAATATCAGCAGCCTTGTTTAAAGTCATCATTCTGTAAGTTCTATTGTCTATACAATGACCTTTTTAGCAAAAAAAAATCTATCAAGTCAAATGCTGACGGAAGTTTTTTTACACTAATTGTTAGGCCATTATATATACATGTACACTGAATCGTCGACGGATTATTCCCGTTATTTCCAAATCATCACAAGGAGTACACGGCGAGTGTGACCAGATGACAGGTGATGCTCACCCCTCCATGGCACCTGATCCCACTTTGATGCTTTAGAGGTCCGTGTTTACTCTGCTCCTTTTTGTATTGCTTAACGGACGTTTGAGCTTGAATACTGTTCGTTACCCCCATTTATTTTACTCAACAAGCATGCAACATATTTTAACAAAACAAAAAATGTGTATGAGCTGATAATTACCTACTTACTTGCACTGATTGTCATGACTCTCTTATTTATCAATGCAAAGATATAATTCATATATTTTGCATTATTTTCAGCATGGATTGGATCAGTTTGTACAGGTTTTACATTCTTTATGTGTATCTTTAGCGGTGTATGCAGTGATCGCATTGGTATCAGACCTACGGCATTTTTTGGTGCGCTCCTAGGCGCAATAGGACTCTTTTCTAGCGCTTTTATCACACAATTGGAATTGCTATATTTAACCTACGGCCTTTTGCTTGGAAGCGGCGGAGGATTTATTTATGCTACCTCCTTGGTCATTCTAGGACATTACTTTAAAAAGCATATTGGGCTCGCAAATGGAATTGTAGCCTTTGGAAGTTCAGCTTACACGATGATTATGTCCATTGTTCTGCCTATTTCTCTAGAGAATTTGGGAATCAAGTACACTTTTATTATCTTAGGCGGATTGTACTGCATACTTTTATTATGCAGTCTGACGTGGATACCTACATTTCCAGTACATTCATCGTCCCATGGGAAAGAATCGCAAATTGAAGAAGGACGGTGTTCGTCAATACACAAGTACCTGAATTTGAAGATCTTCAAAAATCGTGCATATCTTACTTGGTTTCTCGGATTTGATGTCGCTTTATTTGGTTACTTTGTACCATTCTTTCATTTAGTAAGTATACAACGATTGTACATGGTGAACATTCCTTTTTATGACACAAATTGGGAAAAATAAGAGAACATGGTCAATGCAGTTATCTCTAAATGTAAAAAACAATCATATGCAAAGAGCTAGATTCATGAGTCATTCAAAGAAGTCAAATATAGAATCATTAAAAATGTTTAAGTTATAAAAACATATTTCAAATAATTTTCTTGGATTTGAAAACCAGAAAACAATTGATTTACAAGATTAAAAAAACATATCATGTCTAATTTTTAAAAAATCACCTTTTTGGTATACCAGTACAAGTAGATTAAACCCGTTCATTAATCATGGCTTTTGATTTGCATACAACACAGTATTAAATGTTTTGAAAGTTCAAGTTTGCACCGCATCTTGCAAGAGACAAATATTTGCTAGTGTTAAATATAACAGGACAATGATAACCCGGTAATCTTACTTTTACAACTTGCTATAAACGGCTATAAATATTGAATACTCAGTAGTGGTGTATTTTAATTAAATGTATTTAAAATGTAAATATGGATTATTTTACCTCTATGTATTTTGATGTAAATAAATTTCATTTATATTTAGGTTAAACATACTCGGGATAATTTCCCCGGCAAAAATGCATTTATTCTGATAACCTGCATTAAAGTAACCTCAGGAGTTGGAAGACTGATATTTGGAAAGATAGCTGACTTCAAATGTGTGAACCGAATCTATATGCAGCAAAGCGCTTTTGTATTGATGGGCATAATGACTGCATGCCTTCCTTTTTCAAGCTCTTTTGAAGGACTAATAATTATTTGTCTCGTTCTTGGGGTGTGTGATGGGATCATGGTATTTTTGGTAGGTCCTATAGCGTTTGATCTTGTTGGTCCTAAAGATGCATCTCAAGCTATTGGTTTTCTTCTCGGTGGATTCTCAGTCCCATTTACTGTTGGACCTCCCATTGCAGGTACATGTAAGAACTTTTAGCTTCTAGTTGATTCGACAAAAAATATTCTAGCATTTTTTCCTTGCATTTTTAATCAAAATTTCATACAATTTGCATACAGGATTGCATTGCTAATCTTTGCAAAATACACGTACAGCAAAGAAAGTAAATGTTTTTCTTAATTTGTGTTTTTAGAATTTTTTTCAAAGTCCCATGCTTTCGCAATAGCGAGGAAAGATTAAATCTAATTCGTCTGTCAGTCTGTAACACCGTCAGTTTGTAAGTCTGTCAGTCTGTAAGCCTGCCACTCTGTACGTCGGCCACAAACACTTTAACCTTGGTAATAACATTTGAATGAGAAGAGATATGACTTTCATATTACATGCATGCATTGCCTGTGACAGTATCTTTTAAAATACACTATGATTTTTGACCCCGTGACCTGACCTCGACGAGTGACCTACTTTTCCAAAATTAAAAACATAACATTTCATTTGCCATAACTTTTGAAAGAGAAAAGGGAGGGGTTTCATATTAAACATGTGTATTACCTTTGACAAGGCCTTTCTAAGTATTATATGATTTTTGACTCCGTGACCATGAAATTTGACCTTCTTATCAACAATTTTATCTTTTCTTACTTCTTCTGAAAGAAAAGAGAAAAGGTTTTTATATTTAAGGGGGCCGACTATAGTTTTATTGTGTGAAAACTACAATAGCAAAACTCTTCTTTTTTATACCATATATAACTTACATTACCTACAGTGTACATGCAAAGTTTGGGGGAAATCTACCGTCCATGTATTTTTGAGGGACCGTCTCAAAATACAGGTACATTTTCTATAGTTTTGATATATAGAAAACTGCACATTTTTAGCACTTTAAAGCAAATTACTGTAAACCAACTTTTATTCGCGTGCGATAAATTTTCGCGACGTTCGCGAGAGCCTCGTCATCGCGAATATTTCTCGCCGCGAACCGGTCTTTATAGTATATTTGTATATTAAAAACAAATGCAATATGGCTTGATCGCGAAAATTAATCGTCGCAAACTGGTTTATCCCTGGTAAATCGCGAAATAAAGTCGTCGCTAATAAAAGTTGGTTTACAGTATACAAATACTGTAATAGACATTTTGTTCAAACTATATAATATTTTATGAGTTATACTATATTTTACAATATATGTAAGAAACACAAAATTCTACCGTCTTGTTGCCAGAGGGGGCATCTCAAAATGCAAAAAATTAGCAAATTTTAAATTACTATTTTTATAGAGTATTACAAAATATGACGTACACAATGGATTCACATGAAAACAAAAAAAAAATATTTGAGATATTCTTAAATTTATATGTTTTAAATTTTGAGAGCGTATGTTTATTACTTTTTCTTTAATAATATTTTTATTACTCCTTTCATTAGGAGCTACAGATTATCAAAACGTTAAAAAACACTGCAACGACGTCAGCCTACCTATCAAACGTAAAATCGGTTAAAAAATCCGTTATAACAAATTGTAATTATATTTTTGCGTGGACCCTGAGGTCCACGCAGTAAATATATAAGCGAGGTTAAACCGGATGCCATGGGCAAACGTCAGGCTACGCATGCCCGAGATTGCTAGAGAGTTCGCAATCGTATCATCTCGGGTCTTTCCGTCAGAGGTCAGGAAAACAACTTCCGCCATTCGGAAAGGCCCGAGAATTTGCGATAGAGAGAGTTCGACCCCCTAAAACAGCTTACCCGTAGAATAATTCGCCCTATTTGAATTACAATATACCACGTTCATCGGCAAATCTCGTTTTTAAATCTTCCTATCGTATTTATTAAATTATTAGCGAATCCGAATTTCTTTCGTATACATATACATTTATATACAAACTAAACACTGATTCTATTGCAGATGCATTTTAAAAGGTAGGAAGAACTTCCAGAATATAGAATAACAACTTGAATGAAAAACTTCATTGAACGAATAGTTCTAGGTTTTAAAAGATAGAATAACTTAAAGTCTTCATCGGCATTTGTTTTGTGCATCAAGCCTCGCAAAAATAATTTGATATACAGCATTCCAAATACAGCTTGATACAGTTTTCCATGTGGATGGCCTACAAATAAATGTGCTACACGTTATTCAGATATATTTTTCCGATTAACGATTTTTTTCCGTATAAATCTAGAACAAATGTAAATTCTCAGTCATTATGGGTTACATGTAAAAATATAGCCCTTTTTTAAATGTCAAAACTATATTGGCCGATCAGACATAACATTTAACAATTTTGCTATGAAAGTACTATTAGTCAAAGTAGGCAGATCATAATAGAAAATGAATTTCGGTTAGAAACACATGCATATGGTCCAACTATTGTAGTCCTTTTTTAAAGGACAGCAACTTGTTATACCTATAATTTCTCAATTTTGTTAAATTTTAATAATCAAGCGAAAAAAGTTGCATTAAAAAAGTAAATACGCTTCATTTAATATGATGCGCGAAATATTGCGCAATGGAAACTATAGTTGGCCCCCTTATGTAATGAAAACAAATGTAAACAAAAACAAGGCACGGGTCTTGTTTACATCAGGAAGAGTTCAAGTCCTGTTTCTCCTTTGTAAATTAACAAATGATGTTCAAATGTTTGTACCGGTCACGGTAGCCCAGTGCTAGAGCGTTCTCTTCGTGATCGGAAGGCCCGGGTTCTAGTTCACGGCGCCGCGTCAAACCTAAGACGTTAACATAGGTAGTGACTGTTCCTTCGCCAAGCGCTCAGCACTGTAAGTGAAAGTCACGGTCTTTCGGATATGACCTTAAAAACGTAGGTCCCGTGTAACGGTAGGCGTTGGCACGATAAAGAACCCTCGCTGCTCAATGGCCCTGAACGCCGAGTTAAGGTATAAATTTGAAGCCCTTCACCGGCAAACGATGACGTCTCCATATGAGTGAAAAATTCTCGAGTAGGACGTTAAACAATATACAATAAATAAATCAATAAAATTTTTGATGATCATTAGAATTGCCTTAGTAAGGAATTGTTAACATTAAAATAGGTAAAAAAAATTCAGTTGAAACTGTGTCCATGCCCCTTTAAAAGAGAAATTTGGTAATCACTTTTGAATGACATATGATAGAGTGTTCACATTTGACACAATATGTTATAAATAATGGAATCTTACCCATAGGAAACTGAAAGTGGGAGACCACAACTATTCGGATGTGCCCGTTAAAATAAAGATATGACAGATATAAATATATATCTGTATAAACGTATGTATACTGTAGAGAACCTATGAAATTCCTTTCTTATTCTTTTCAAGTGATGAAATAGAGAGAAAAAAAACCATGAATGTATTTTCATTTCAGGTTTGCTTTATGACACATTACATACATACGAAATAGCTTTCGTGGTTGCTGGTGCTCCGCCCATCATTGGTGCATTGATAATGTGCTTCATTCCTAGAATTGTTCAGGTAGAATATGTTTCCTTATATTGTCTTCTCTGAATAGAAAATTATTATTATACTACTTAAACATGTTAGAGGCAAAATTATAACAAAAAATGTATTGCTTAATCATCAGAACAGCAACAAAGAAAAGGAAACAACAGATGCTGCAATCGGCTTGACACGGTTTAATCAAACAGGTAGATCATAATAGCCATATCTGAATATTTCACAATTTTACGAAATTAATTCTTTAATATTATTACAAGTTTGAATCTGACATATGATTGAATTCAAAATACATATCTGTAGGGTATTATATAATTTTTTACTTTTAAGGAAGGTATCTTTATAATTCACTTTATGTATGCAAACATCTAAATAGTGAAGGTTGTATTTCAGCATGAACAAATTAAAGAAATGTTTGTTTTTTCTCTCTTTTGATTGATAACCATCTCGTTAAAATTTTAAGAGCATTGTGTCAATTTAAATATTTTATTAAAATGTTATAGATTTTTTCAAGATTCAGCTGAGGAAGAGGGGAAAAAGCTTTTAGACTTGCAGAAAAATGACAAAGATATGAAATAGAAAAGCTCGAGAAGACCTAAATCATTCATATAACAGAAAATTGTCCATTGATGACTATTTTCATATTTTTGAAAATATTGAATTTGCAATGTTGTTACAATGTAAACAAAGCTTTTAATAGCTATGTTGTATTGAATTTAATACTTGACAAAAACCTTATAAAGTATATGTCGTGTAATAAATAAAGTTACTGTAACTGTTTATGACGTTTTATGCCGCTATATAGCAATCATTATTTTCTGTTTATTTGTTTGAAAAACATAGAAACACTTTTCTTTCAAATTAGAAATTTTTGTAAAATTAAGCAGTTCCTGTCAAATGTTTTTTTTTTTATTCTGAGACAATATTTGCAATAAAAAGGATAATGAAAACAAACAATGATCGATCTTAAACATTTTTTTTTTTAAATACAAATCTGTGAAGAAAGGAATAAGCTCCGACAAAATCCCAGATGTTGAATCAGGTGCAAAGGAGTAGTAAGCATCCCTTTGGACCGGTTACAGCCGCCATGAGCCCTATGTATTGATCAGCTAGATGGAACATTCCGTAGTCAATTACAGTCTACATCATGTATTTTCTAACAATGTTATAATGATCGAAGAATTTAGAAAATGCTTATTTAAACAAAGTTATTGAATCCCTGTAACATCACCATATCTGTCAGTAGCTTGCTTTTGCTTAAAAACGGATTGTACCTTATTCTCTTATATTTACACTTTGTGACTTATTCATACTTTAAATTTGGATATTGATATATATAAATGATGGAAATTGCTTATTTTTCAAACCCAACGGCATCTCGTTTGTCATACAGATTAGATGATAATTAGCCTTTATCGTCCCAGGTCAGAAAATTATCAAAATATGGAACAAATGTGGCAGATCAATGGTGTCATTTATTTCAAAAGTACTGTATATATCAGTTATAAAAACGCTTGCTTTCAGTAATATATAAAAATATTTTAAATTTATTTGATAAAACGACGTCAATATATCAAATGTCGATTTGAAGGTCATGTCAAATGTAGAGTTATTGAATAAATTCTGTTGAGAAATAGACCAAAGAATACAATGTACAATTATTGCCCATTGATATTCCAACATAGTCTCTGAAAAATGTGTGTTAATGAGGATAATGATGATCTCTAGCATCCTGTGCGAGTATTTAACTACATCAAAATTTAAAACTGCTTTCATATTTATCGCTTTAACTTAAAACGGATACAGCAAGTATAGACAAGTCACTGATCACTATATACATGTAGACATGACGCCATCTTCGGAAAATTGAACATAAGTTTGGGCAGTCAAAGTATCAAGTAATTAGTTCAAAACAAAAAAGTTTTTCATGTTAAACAGAACATCATTTGCAAATATTAGATAAACCATTAAAATCAAATTAAATTCAATTTTAAAAAGTTTTTCTGTTCATTTTTTACAGTAAACCTTACTAGTGCTACATTTTAAAACACTTAATCTATTCTGACAAAGTGTTCAGGTGTTATTTTTTTTATATCAAGCCCAACGTTTGGCATAATGATATAATGTTCATAAACATAAGACATAAAGATATGAAGTTCTGCTGCAAATCGACAGCTAGGTTGGGCTCCCTGTTTTTGTATCCTTTAACGGTGAATACTTAGGGGTCTTCATTTTCAGCTTTAATCAAAGTCAATATAAATAACGTGTCAAGTGGGACTTTAGTTGAAAAAGAAGAGCAAGAAACTTAGTTATATTCTGTTTTTTTTTTTATTCGTTTCAATATCTAGACATTGTAATATATATTTATAACTGAAAAGTGTTTTTGTAAAAACTCTAAAGTTATTAAAAATTTAACATATTTGAAAACAAGGAGCGGTACCTTTGAAGAAACATATTTCAACAATCATATAACCAAGAAAATATGCAAGATTGTAATTATACTTGTACTCATACTCTGTATACACTTTTTCAACCATTAAGGCATTTATATATCTAAATTTAAATTATAGCTCATACAGTGTATGACAGAATTTGCAAGGGCATGTTGTATCTGGGAGTTAAGGCGATTAATGCAATGTCTCATGAGATGTCTTTTTTTCAAAGAATCTTTTACTACATTATTCAAACACCCAAAATTAAAATCAAATTTAAAACACAAAGGATTATTCCTGAATTTAATTCAAATCAGGAAAGTGACACACCACTGTCAGTAATTGAAACATATAATGATACATATAAGGCATAACAACTGATAAATTTAAAGACTATTACAGAGAAAAATACAATAAGTAACCAACTTTTTTTAGTTTTATATTTAAATGTTGCATCTATATAGTTCATGGATTGACAGATAAATCATGGGAATGAATTCATGAATATTAGATGCTGATGGAATTCAAAACTTTATCCGGATCCAGCCATGTATATATGTAATCTTGGACTTGACTTTCATCTTTGGCATTCTCCTCTCTCACTAGTTCGTTTCTTTTTTTGATGTCCTTCGATATTTGTTTCAGTGCCTGCTGGAACCTTAAATTATAATTTATATATGGAATACTATGTAAATTTAGCAAACTGAATAAATTGCTGCAGTACATTATACAATACGTGTAATATGACTAAGATCTCTAGAGCTGCCTAACAGCGACACTTATTTAAGCTGTTAAGATTTCGTGTAGATGGGCATTTTGGTGTATGAATAAATATGCATTATAAGAATGTGTTGTTTTTTTCTCTATATTAAAGGATCAATTTATGTCTTGCATAACAAAAAATTTGGGTTCAAGTAAATATTAATAAAACTGTCACTTTGTAATAATTTGGGACAAAATATTTTTTTGTCTTTTTCCCTGTGATGATCGTTTTCGAATCCAATATAGACACAGTAAATTAACCTCACTTTTATTTACTGGAAAGTCACAACTATTTAAAACTGAGAAACATTTTAAAATAAGAAGCAATTTAAGTAGAGGTTATAAAAAACAAATTAAATAAAAAAATAGAATTAAGTTGTTTTGAAAAGTAAATGTTACAATGAGCTTTATAAACGGATACTTAATTTATTGGTAGTACGTTTTTCTTAGCTAAAACCTAATAATATTTTCTCTTATCTATTAATAAACCTAAGGCCTGCTACAATGGAAAAGATAACTGTAGTTTGCTCATACATGTAACTATTTGAAAAAAATCTATTAACAATTTAGAAAAGAAAGGAGAAAAGGAGAAAATAGAAAGGAGAGAGAGGGGCAAAAGAGTCGACGAAAATTATTGAATAAGAGGCGATCATTGAATAAACATATACTTAAGAACAGGTTGTCTTCCTTTGCTGTCCAATGCCTTCATGTATTCTTTTTCATAGTGTCCAAGATTGTTTGTCAATATAGTCGTCAGAACTTTCATTATTTTGATTGTAGAAAAAAATTCCTTTTTTGAGGGCAAAGCAACATCTAATTCCATAGCTCCCTATATTAACGAAAATAGTGCATTTTGGGTCTAAAATTTACTTACATGTATACATGAGTTGAATATGTTGCAAATATTAAAATACTTAAAAATTAGAATACAACGGATGAAGTAAAACTAATTATAATTACGTGATGTTTTGTTGGATCTCCACTCAATTTCGCGGGATAATTAGGAGAAAAACCATACTGCTCATATTGAGGAAAATTTGTCGCAGAATTTTCAACGCTGGATATAAAAATGAAAGTTGTCAAGGTTGCTGCAAGGGTTTCAATGGAGTCAAATGCTGGTACACCCTAAAATTACATAGATAGGTATTGTATATTTAAAGAAACAATTGAAAAGAACAGTTTCAGAATAAATTTATAAAAATGTGTTCTTTGTGCAAGGGGTTTGCGGACTCCCTTCTCATGCAATTTCATGTCAAAAATATGTCATTTTTAACTGCATCGTCATTCACTAAACATTTTAAAATTATTCAGATAAATAATATTCTGAAAGGTGAAAGAATAAGAACCCAATAACCATTATCAATATTACCATGATTTTCAAGCTGAATTACCTCGCTAAATTTATAAACAAAATATTTTGTGTTGTGTTGCATTTCATGTGTGACTGTTCATATTTGATTCGCCATTGTTTTTAATTTGCCTACCACTCATGATTTAAAATGCCTTAAAATTCGAAAAGGTTTAAAATATTCCAAATGATGTTCACCATTGCCAGAGAAAAATTCTAAGTACACAAACTATGTTTTTTTAGGTCACACGGTCAGAAAAAAAAACTGCTCATCTCAAAATAATGTCATTGAAAAAATCAATGTCTCTTTGGGTACGTATATTTGTATTTTCTAAAAGAGTGAAATATATATTAGGGGGGGACCTATGTCGTTCGACGTCAAAGCAGGTTATGTGACGTCACAATAGCGACGTTTGTTTATTTCCCGCTGACTTTTGCAACTGTGATTATAGGCATAACATTGTTATTAATCAAAATCGTACACAGTTTACAAAAAGAAAATTTTTTCATAATTTAAAACAGTTTTATTTGATTTATGGAGTTTGTTAATATCAGAATTCTCTTCCTTTGGTTGATAATTCATAGCAATTTCAGTTGTGAAGAAATACCTCTATGATATGCTGATATAAAAATGCAAAAAATATAAGATAAAATTCAGCAAAGACAGCGGCTTAAATTAGGGAAATATGTTTAATTTCATGATTACCATTAATTGTATTTTCTGGATAAAACTAAGAAAAAAAAAGAAATGCACTTGTACCTTTATTTACCTATTGATTTATAATGTATGTAGATTTTATTGTATGAAGTCATTCCTAGGTTCTTTAGGTGTTGGTTGTTTACGGGGAAAGGGGGAGGGACAGAATGATTAGAATGAAGAAGAAAAGAGATTATCTGTTTAAATTATTTCCTATCAAAACAAAATACTCGTTTTTTGCAAAATAGTTAAATATTCAGATGTTTGTCAGTCCTAACTTACCTTTTTTTAAGTGCAGAAAGGTCAATGTTTATGACAGAAGAGTACGAAAATAAAAGAAAACGTCGTATTTCTCGTTTATTTTATCATAAAGGTATACTTTTTTCCTTGTTAAAATAAAGAGAGGGGTCATTTCTTTGAAAAAATATGAATTACAACATTTTCACACAAAGACTTTTTAAGATATTACCTGTTATGCATGTCGGAATTGTAAAAAATACGACAATACAAAAATATTGATACTTACATTGTGCTCCTTTATAATTTTTCATGCGAGATGAATTACAATGAATTTGCCTTTATTTAAAAGATACAAGTCATATAAATTAAATACATGTTGATTTCGAATGTGATTTGACATTTTTGGTTCTTTTTTGCGCATATTTGGAGTAGAACAATAATGTCTAAAAATAATCTATTTCTAGCATTTCACACTGTTTTTGCACGTGCTCCTGTGTAAAAATAAGCATATAAAGGTATTGTTTTTAATACCTAAAAATTAAGATCAAGTGGTCAGGAAAGAAATGTCAAAGTTTTGAAAATTTCACACAAAGACTTTTCGGACATAGGTCCCCCCTTAATGGAGGATAATATTATAATTATTATCTCTTGTGGAAAGAAAAATATGGAGATAACAAACAATATTCTAGCTCAAAAGTCCATAAAAAAAAATACAGAATAGGAGCAGAGCAAATACGGACCTCCAAAGCATCGGAGTTGGGATCAGGTGCAATGGAGGAGTGAGCACCCCTTCCGACCGGTCACACCCCGTGTGCTCCTTGTCATGATGGGTAGGTAACCAAGAAATACGTCGTCAATTAAGTGTGTAAATAACTGCCTAACAATCAGAATAAACATCGTCAGTCAGCATTTAACTCATAAAAACTCAATAATAAACTGAAATTGCTGACAAGATACATGTAATTGTATCATTTAAGTTATTTTACAAAATAAATTAAGGAATATTTAAAAGAAAATTTTGTGTGAGTTATTGGTATGTGAATCATACAGACTTGTCATGCAGGCATATTTCATGAAGCGTAATAGCCTTTAATGAGAAATATGCGTAGGTGCAAGTCTGTGTGATTCACACACCATTAATTCACCCTTATTTTAAAAAACATTCCATATATTTACATTTCTATTTCTTAAAGCATAAAAAATATACTCAATATTTGATTTTTTCGCTGCCCTTTTTCGTTGCATTTTTCTTATGTCTCTTTAGTCTCATTGTGACGTCACGTGAGCAAAGGTTTCTCCATGTATATGTCTACGCATGAGTTTTCACGAAAATAGTATATAAATCAATTTCACTGTTGGCTTACTAGAATAACACAGCAAATGTAATATATTACACTGTACAATAAGATGCCATATATGTATGGTACAAACGTAAGACTTACCATAGTAGAGTTTGATATATTCAGTTACGTAGTCAAGAATTGCTGCATGGATTGTTAATGCATCATCTCGGAAATAGTATCCAGGTAGATTCTATGGATTTGAATATTAGTAATTTCATTTTATTGCTAAATATCAGAGAAACTAATTATGATATAAAACTTCAGAACAATTACAGAATTATATCAATTGACTAAACTTAGGAATCATAAACAATTGAAAAGTAGTCAATGTTGATAATCATTCTCTTTTGAATTTCAAAAACTATTAAACAACAGTTTAAGATTTGAACAGGGAATATACTATTAAATATATTGGATATAATTTTACCCATACGCATTGAGTTGAATATTTTTATTCCCGAATCTTGGCGAAGGGATAAATACATATGAGAAAGACAGTAATTATGAATTGGAAATATTACTTATTCATCATCTTTTTGTTTAACTTTTGTACTTGTAAAAGATAAAGACCACAAACAGTAATCGTTCTTAAAAAACGAACAACCAAATATGTAGGCACAAAACAAGGATTTCGGGAAAATTCAGACGCGGGAAAACGTGCCTAGGAGAAGTAACTATCTTTTATAGACTGGTCACATCTGCTATGAGTCTTAAGTCTTGTATTCCTTAACTCAAAAAGAAGTATGCATAATGACAACAAACCTTCACTCCCCTGTTTTCCACGTCCCATTCAAAATTCCCTTGCCTGTTTAAATGCCATTTTTCATTGCTAAACAAAGAAATCATTGAATATAGTTCAAACATCATTTGTAATCAATAATTTATCAAAAGAGATGTACATTTTGAATTAAAAATAATAATTTATATTCTTTAATGTTTCAGACTTTGTTATGTATTTTTATTGAAGGAAACACGTAGAATTATCTCATATTTAAATTATATATATACAGTATAGCATTTGAAAAGTACTGACTTAGATTTGATTTGCCTAGTAAGTAAAATAGCTCATACTGTCTTCCAATCAATTTGAGCATGTTTTCCCTTCCATACCACATGTCTGCATCTATAAAACCATCCTTAGCGAGCAGAGTGGAAAGGGCTAGACTAAAATATTGAATCAAATATCTAACATTACCAAAACGTTCTGATTTGAAAGAATTGACATGGTCAGAACTGGGAGTGGAATGAAGCAATTGAAACCTTATTTCGATCCCATAACGCAAGCAATCGATTTTTAAACAAAAATGAGTAGAATTTTTCGGAAAACATTTTTGTTTTATAAATATCGGGTTTAGACTGAGACTTTACTTGTTTATTGCATGCATATGTCGAAAATGAGGAACCATAAGTTTGTAAATAGGGTGCCTCTGCGAAACATTCCTATGAAAACAAACACTGACCCCATCCATCAGAAGGTGGGTGAAACCTTTTTTTAAAAAAAAGTTTTAAACTTCCGTTAATTTTTTTTCACTAAAGTTATCTCGATGGCTTCTTTTTGTACCTTATATTACATCATATATACTGAGCAAAATAAGTTTAGCAATTAAAGATATTTAATATATCAAGTAAAAAAAGTAGACCAATAATTTATAATGCACTTGAAATGTTAAATTTTCTTCGTATAACAAAGAAAAGGCAACATTTTTGTTGAATCCAAGACGATTTGTGTTTGCCCCTGCGATGCGTGATTATTTATGACGTTGAGTAAGTGATATTGCTTTGAGAGGTCCTTGAGCTTGAAAAATGGCGGAACGTAGCCTGTTTCCTACAAATTGTCTGCATAACCTCACTCCAGTAAAATGGCATAACTCTTCTGCAACTTAAGGAGCAGCCATAAAACTGTAACGTCTCGACGTTGTAACAGTGAAACGATCATTGCTAACTGTTGTTTTTCGTGGACGTTCTAAGCGCTGCCGATTGATTACGTGTTCAGTCGTTCGGAATCAGTTCGAAAGTCGACATTTGGTGGACTGATGCAAGCAAAAGTGTTCACCGACAACTTTTTATGAGCAACCAATTATTAGCATCCCTATAGTCCTTTAACGTTTATTTTCGGAAAGTCCTGGTGTTTTGCCATGAGACGTTTTGGCAGTTTTTCACCGGTTTTCTTTTACAAGCATGTTCAGAATGTTTTTCTAGTAAAAAATTGTTCCCGGACCATTCTTTTATTGAATTGTCACAATGTTGGATGAAGCGGTTTCTGCGTGTCAAATTAAGAAAAGAAATCTGCCTTTTGTTATCTTTATCTCTATTGTTTTTAAGAAGAAGCATAATAAAACAATTAAGAAAAATATTTTAAAATCATACATACGGAAAAGCTATTGCTAAACTTATTTTGCTCAGTATATTTTCGTTACCGCAACAGTATTTTGACCTAAAGAAATATATTTAACATCTTGTAGATGATATTGATGAAATGGTTATTCATGATACATTCATTGTTTAAAGTAAAAACATTTATTTTTTATTCTAATGTTAAGGACATGAAATATTGGAAACAAGCTTATTAGTAATACAATTAGATATTCAAAGTGTTTACATCGATCGATGTGCATATTTGCTGGGTACTTTTTAGGCTCTCTTTACACTTGTAGCAGAGTGCACGTGATCTCTATGCTTTTACAATTGTTGATTAATGAACAATTCTAACTCACCTAAATGTGTAATGGATTCATGATATTGAGCGTCCAGCATGTTGAACCACATTCTTGCCTTTACCCATCGCCGATGACAAGCATGCTCTGCATCAAAGGGTGGAGGTGTAAATATCTGAGTAATAAATCAGCATAGATATCTAAATTACATAAACCCTTTATAAAGATACTCAATTTTATTAATGTGTTTCATTCTTTCAATGGATAAAGCAATATATGAAATCACGGCAAATTGAAAAATAAAGATACCTCTCGGTCTTTTTCAAATTTTGCATGTATGGCAATAGGCATTAATTTGTTGTTATATATGGGAAAACAAGGCAACTGGACTCAAAAGCTGAAATATAGGGAACGATTAGATAGATTTTTCAGTAAATGCCAACCAAGGTTATGTTATAGATATTAAAAACTGTTACATTTTGATCTTTAAATAAGATATCCTTTATAATCTTACATCTGGTTGGTCTAGCGCTACATCAGTCAAATCAACAATATAAAGCATGTTTTCTTTCAGGAGATCGTCCAGTGTTTTACCTCCCAGGTAAGGGTGTGTTGTACCCACTTCGTTTTCAAAGTTCAGAAACCTTTTTAGAAATTTAAAAATATTTACATGAAATGATATGTAATATATACCAATCTTAAATTTACTAGTAACCTTTTTCCTAGAAGCAAAAGAGTTTCTTTCTTAACATTCATGTACCTTAATTGATATGAAAAACACGTCATGTTGTGATGAGATTCCTTGTCGCATACCGAATCCGTTAGCATTATCATATAGTTTTTTAAATATGTACGAACATGTATAAAATTAATTATACAAGGACTTCAGTGTTCTGATCTTTGTAATAGTTACTATTTAAGACTTTTTGACCGTACTTAAGAGAGTTGATCAGGAAGACAGAAAAGAAACAGATAAATGAATATTTCTTTGGCTCGAAAATTAAAATCCTTACTGATGAGGTATGTCTTGAGCAAGTCTTATAAGATTTCTTGTCACTCCGTTCATTCGCTGCCATGCAAACCAGTAGTCAGCCTGTGCCATTTGCTTCTGTTAAAATAAACCTTGTACAGATATCCCTTTTCAGAGTTGTCAGAAAATATGATAATCAAAATGAAAAAAAAAAAACCAGCAAACCTTTGTTTGAGATTCGGTGTTTACACCTTCCTCTCTCCACACTTTCAGTCCCTAGATTTTAAGTGAAAAAAAAATCATATGCATCAATTACTTATACTACTTAAAGATTTAAAGATTCATAATTATATCTCAAGGTAATATGTCAAGATTGATATAATATCTTGAGATAAATAATAAAACAACATGCACTAAATCACACTTGTGTTTATTGTGAATCTCAACAGTTCCTAGTTTGTGTTATTTTATGTACCCAGTCTATAGGTAACACAATCTTCGCTGAATCAAATAATACAAGTATTACCTTTAAAACATAGATTTGAAACACTTATGTACGACGGTGTACTCGCACCATATTGACAATGAAGATATTTTTTTTTCAAATTGTTTGTATTGTACAATTTTTTAATCGTTTGTACGATTTTTAAATCGTTAAACGATTTAGAAAATTGTTTGTATGATTAGAAAATAGTTTCTGGTTATTACACATAGAAGAAGCATACATGTAGTAGAAAACCTTGCACAAGTAGGACAATGAATCCATACATAGTTTTGATGAATGACACTATGAATGACAGAGAAAATTTGATTAAGGGATATTTCAAGATGGGTTTGACTTTTTCGGAAATTGCACAGATTCTTTTGCAAACTTACCGAAACAACAGCGAAGTTGGGAGTATTCAAACGTAAGAACGAATCCAACATAGGAAATGTGGATCTTTTCATTGAGGAAATACTTGAGTCATGGGTAAATTACATGGATACAGGTGATTGTACGGGAAAGCTATTATGGCAGAATATACTTTTTCTCAAGAAGATATTCGATGTCTTCTTTCTATACAAGATCCGAAGGGAGTGTGTTCAAGGAAAAGAAACAAATTAAGACGAAGATTATACACTAACAAAGGTCAAAATCACGTATTGCACGTATATGGATATGACAATATTCATCATGTTTAATTAACAAGATATAATTTATTAAAGGTGTTTCTGTACCTGTTACAGTCAGCAGCAAAGGGAGTTCTTTATAATATCTTAACCAGATTTCTTATCAAGCAGACTTCTGTTCTAAATCAGAAGAAAAATCTTGTTCAAACGATTTTTAAATTGTTTAAACGATTCTTTAAATCATTCAAACGATTTTTTTAAAATCATTCAAACGATTTTTTTTAAATCATTCAAACAATTTTTAAATTGTTAAAACACTTTTAAAATCATTCAAACGATATCTTAATCAAACCAAACGATTATCGAAATCATACAAACGATTTAACAAATTGAACAAATGTATTTCTAAATCAAATCAAACAATTTTTAAAAAAATCGTACAAATGATTTTCTTAATCGTTCAAACGATTTTCTAGAACGTTCAAACGATTTTTAAAAAAATCTTTCAAACAATTTTCTAAATCGTACAAACAATTTCTAAAAATTTTCTTTACATTGTCAATATGGCCCGAATACGCCGTCGTACTTATAGCTTGAACATACTTGTTAGATTTTATTTTATTTTATATCTCTGTGGGATAATCAAATTTAGTGGGGGACGATTTTCGTAGATTTCTTATAATTAACAGGTCTGTGCATATATGTTCAAACATCACGGAAAAGTTTTCACGCATATTGAACCAATGATCGCCCTTATAATTTTTCCCGTGTTATTTTTTGTTTTTGTTTTGTTTGTGGATACATGTGAATTCAAAGAAACAAGCTATATGAAAGATGCAATAGTAAAATCAAGTACCTTTGGTTCTGTTAGAATCCTAGAAGATTTCAGATGTTTTATCATGCCATCAAGAGTCCAGTTACCTCTCCCATAGATCCTTTCGTATATTTCGAATTTTAAAAATATTTTCCCAAACTTTAGCTGTAGAAAAATTAGATCAATTAATGACAAAAATAATATATTAACGGCAATTCTCTGTAGAAATAATTTAACGTGCTGTGTATTTAATGCAGGTCAAATAGGGTTAAAGGTTTTTTTTTTTTTTTTTTTTTTTTTTGTTGTTGTTTTTTAGCTCTACTGGTCAGAGACCAGAAGAGCTTATGCGATAGTAATGCGTCCGGCGTCCGTCCGTCTGTCTGTCTGTCTGTCTGTCTGTCCGTCTGTCTGTCCGTCTGTCTGTAAACAATTTTTCAAAACGCTACTCCTCCTACAATTTTAGTCTGATTTCAATATAACTTGGCACACAAGTAGACTACACTAAGATACATAGAATAGTGCATGGGTTTTTGATTTCGATGAACGGTGTTGCCATGGTTACTAAAAATAGAATTTTCTGTGAAATTCCTTTAAAACGCTACTCCTTCCACAGTTTTGGTCTGATTTATATATACTTTGGCACACAAGTAGACTACACTAAGATACATAGAATAGTGCATCGGTTTTTGATTTCAATGAACGGTGTTGCCATGGTTACTAAAAATAGAATTTTCTGTGAAATTCCTTTAAAACGCTACTCCTCCTACAGTTTTGGTCTGATTTCAATATTACTTGGCACACTAGTAGACTACACTAAGATACATAAGATAGCGCATCGGTTTTTGATTTCATTGAACGGTGTTGCCATGGTTACTAAAAATAGAATTTTCTTTGAAATTCCTTTAAAACGCTACTCCTTCCACAGTTTTGGTCTGATTTCAATATAACTTGGCACACAAGTAGGCTACACTAAGATACATAGAATAGTGCATTGGTTTTTAATTTCGATGAACGGTGTTGCCATGGTTACTATAAATAGAATTTTCTGTGAAATTCCTTAAAAACGCTACTCCTTCTACAGTTCTAGTTTGATTTCAAAATAAGTTGGCAGACAAGTAGACTACACAAAGATACATAGAATAGTGCATCGGTTTTTAATTTCGATGAACGATTTTGCCATGGTTACTAAAAATAGAATTTTCTGTGAAATTCCTTAAAAACGCTACTTCTTCTACAGTTTTGGTCTGATTTCAAAATAAGTTGGCACACAAGTAGACTACACTAAGATACATAGAATAGTGCAATGGTTTTTGATTTTGATGAACGGTGTTGCCATAGTTACTAAAAATAGAATTTTCTGTGAAAATTTTTAAAAACGCTACTACTTCTACAGTTTTGGTCTGATTTCAGTATAACTTGGCACACAAGTAGACTACCCTAAGATACATAGAATAGTGCATCGGTTTCTGATTTCAATGAACGGTGTTACCATGGTTACTAAAAATAGAATTTTCTGTGAAATTCCTTAAAAACGCTACTCCTTCTACAGTTCTAGTTTGATTTCAAAATAAGTTGGCACACAAGTAGACTACACAAAGATACATAAAATAGTGCAATGGTTTTTGATAAGTACATACCAGTAGAGCTACAGTCTCGACAGAGACTTCTGGTTTTTTAAAAAATGAATATACATAAATTCAAACTATTGGAAAAGTTAATGATTTTTTAAAATGATAATGATAATGATTAATAATGATTTTTCAAAATTAACTAAAAAAGATTGAACTTGAATTTAGATAAAATGTACTTACTGTGTATCTAATATATATTTCTTCGCGTGGAACTGTTTTCAACTAAAAGTAAGAAAATATTATGCTTGAGTAAGTTTACCAGGTTTAAGTATCAATATTGAAGAAATGATTGATTCATTGTATATTGTTTAATGTCCCTCTCGAGAATTTTTCACTCATATGGAGACGTCACTGTATGCCGGTGAAGGGCTTCAAATTTAGACCTATACTCCGCACTCAGGGCCATTGAGCAGTGAGGGTTCTTTATCGTGCCAGCGCCTACCATGACACGGGACCTACGTTTTTAAGGTCATATCCGAAAGACCCGTGACTTTCACTTCTAGTTCCGAGCGCTTTTCGAAGGAACAATCACTACCTTTGTTTACATCTTAGGTATGACGCGGCGCCGCGAACGAGAATCGAACCCGTGCCTCCCGAT